AAGGCGAAGACCCGTCCGAGCCATCCACCTGCGGCCTCCCCCGTCTCCGGTCTTCTTGACTCTGTCTTGACACCGGGCCCAGGCGGGGGAGGAGGAGAGAGTGTAGGTAGATGCAGCGCAAGTCTACCGGCACTATAAACCCTGCGCAAGTCACCGTCCCTGCTCCCACAATGCAGTCTGTGGGGCACACGGTGGTCATCGTCGAAACCGACGGACGAACTGTCGTGTGTGTGTGTGTGTGTGTGTTTGTGTGTGTGTGTGTGTGTGTGTGTGGAATGGCGGACTGGTGGGCTGGGGACGGGCTGCAACAGCACCTTCCACGTCCCTCTCACGCAAGTGGGATACACGCCGTCCAACCCCCGTTGTGTGAAACCCTGGTGTTTGTGTGTATGGGGGGCCAGGTCGTGCTGTGGCGCGCGCAGGCATGGTCAGTCTACCATGTCATCCACCGCGCCCATTCCCCACTCCAGTCTGCTGACCGGCTCGGGCAGTGGCTGGGGTGTGGGGATGGGAAGGAAGAGTGAGGTCGACGACTCAGCGCACTTTCTCCTCACTATAATCAATCTGACGCGCTTGAAGCAATTACGGTGCGCTAAAAGCCGTGGCTTGGAAGGTTGCCAACTGACGAGGTACCTTGGACCTCCTCCTTCACTGGAGGCGGTCTGAGAGTCAGGCTGCAATGGCTCCTTTTTAATGTGGCCTTTATGGCACTCTCACCACAGTGTGGGATCCGAGCCAGGCGTTGGCGGCACGCCCAGGTGCGGCTTCGGCCGTGCCAGCCTCCAAATCTCTGTTGTGTTGGTTGAAATCCTGGTTATTGTTGTGTGGACCAGGGGGTGTGGTGGAACGCCAAGGTGAGGATCCGTCCGAGCCATCCACCTGCGGCCTCCCCCGTCTCCGGTCTTCTTGACTCTGTCTTGACACCGGGCCCAGGCGGGGGAGGAGGAGAGAGTGTAGGTAGATGCAGCGCAAGTCTACTGGCACTATAAACCCCTGCGCAAGTCACCGTCCCTGCTCCCACCTGGTGTGGGGCACACGGTGGACATCATCGAAATCGATGGTCGAACTGTCCTCGTGTGTGTGTGTGTGTGTGTGTGCGTGTGGGGGTGTGTAGAGGTGTCAGCGGTGGGTTCACGTGATGGTCCTAGTGGTCGCTCACTTGCTTGCAGGTGAGACCACGCCTAACGTCCACTTGCTGGCACCTAACTCTCACATGTGGCTGCACGCAGCTGGGCTCTGCTCAGCGGCCACACCCCGGGCAACCGTCTCGACCGGCGGGCTAAACCAGATGAGGGTATCCGTGCGTGTACCTGCACGCGCGGTACTGTGGTCTGCGCTGACCGGATGGATCTTCGCGTCGACATCGTCGAGGCGAGGCTCTGTCTGGACCATCGCAGCAGGCCACCAGGTAAGTTCTTCTTCAGGTAAGTGCATTTGCTCTGTTTCTTCCTATTGTCTGCTGAAGTTCCGTGTCGTATGCTGCTCTTGATGTCTGCCCTCTATATACTAGTCTGTCTGTGACTAGCTAGATGAAACTCTCGATGCCTGCTGCGACTGTCTGTCTGTCAGTCTATGCCTTTCTCTGCTAATAGCTAGGTGTTACGGTGCTTGACTTTGAGTGGTGCCCTCACTTTTCTCTCTGACTGATGACTGTGTCCGCCTGTCCACTCTAGTTCTAAGTCTCATAGCGTTAGGTTGTGTGTATGCTCTCTCCTACTTCACTCGATCACATCACCATCACCATCAAGGTCCCAGGATAATTCGGGTCGTTCTCTCACTAACAAAATGTCGTGGCCCATAGTGTAGTCCGGCAGCCGTCTGGGATTACCGGGCAGCCCTGTTCAGGGATGCGTAGCCTGCACTCGCGAGGGGAGGGGCTATACAAGGTGCCCTAAAGATCGCTGGGAACCACGCTGTCTGTAGGCTGGCCGTGGCCGCAGACAATACGCACACGGTCGAAATAGCCAAAACCGAAACAACAACAACAACAATCACTCTCTTCCTCTTCCAGCCTATTCTTCTTCTTCTTCTCCTTCTCCTCCTCCTACTTTTCGCCGCCACATTCCCCAGACTGGCAAGGTGAGCCCGCTCACTCTGGTAGCCTGGAATGTTCGTTCCCTTTTAGACAATCCGAGGAGCAACCGACCGGAACGGAGGACGGCGCTTGTGGCTGGACTATGTCCTCGTCCGGAGGCGAGATCAGCGGGACGTGCTTGTGACGAAGGCGATCGCGGGTGCAGACGGGTGGACCGATCACCGCCTCGTCATATCGAAGATGCGAATTCGTCTACAGCCTCGCATGAGACCACAAGGTAAGCGACCCCAAGGTAAGCTGAATGGTGCCTTGTTGTCTTTGCCCGCTCATCACCTTCATTTCAGCAATGAGCTAGCTCAACGGCTAGACAACCTTCCAATCGCTGCCGACGCCGCCACTGTCGAGAACGCCCCCGTGGAGAACCGCTGGTGTCAACTGCGAGACACGGTCCAGTCGACGGCGCTCGCCGTCCTCGGTCGCTCTCCGCGCCAACACCAGGACCTGTTCGACGACAACCATTTACCGCACGTACTTTTAGGGTGGTCATTCCCCGAGGATGCCGGCATTTAACACTTTCGGGACACGACACAAATATGGGAAGACAACAGTTGCCTATGATTTCCTGGAGAAGCGTATTATTTCGGCTAGCCCTGATGGCAAACTTCGTGTTTATACGAATAAAGATGATCCTAATTCAGTTGAGTATATCATTGGTGAAAAACCCTAATAGCAAAGAGTTACGAATTTTTTCCGAATCGGAAGCGATTCGTACCCTTAGTTTCGACCGGCCGGAAGCGAATCGAATACGCCACTGTCAAGCGAAACGGTTGCGAATCGACTCCGATCGCTCGTAACTCAAAATTTTCAGGTAAACGGCAGTCTACTTATATCCGTTATCAGCGACCCCCCCAGACCCCCATCCAGGTTTTGCACCCTACCGGCCCCTATGCTTACTGCTAATACCGTTTCTATCAAAGACAGTTAGTAATGCGTTATTTAAATGGAAAAAATTTATTTACAATATAAGAATCTTTAAATGTACAAAAAGGTCATTGTTCCGATGAGGGGCCCGCGCCACCAATTTGTTTTTGTGAATCTGCAACGGAAACAATTGAGATTAATTTCTATAAAAAATAAGTTTTCAATTACATTAAATTAAATGTATTTATGTTAAAAGCAGACTCACTGTTAATATTGGTCTTAATTTGCCTTTTCAAAAGCCTATCATATGCCCGCTTGAAGGCGTTTTTCATTGCCCGCTCCAACTGGTGACGGTCGGAGCGCTGTCCTCGATTCCAGTGGTCGAAGACCTCTATAATAAAATCCATCAGCATACATGCAGTGTAGTTCTTACCTAGAACCAAATTGTACAGAGGCGTTCCGAAGAACGGCCTCTTTCCTTGTTGTCGCCCATAAAAGGTGACAAAGGACGTAATGTCTTCGGAGAACAGCGCTCCGAACACGCTATCAACGAAGGACACAACGGTGTCCCCGCCAAGCGAGCTTAGGTATGTCACCTAGCAAAGTAATAAACTAGTAAGTTACATAGCTTACCAGTTGGTGGCGATAGGCCTCCTCGCCCAGGGCGTTAGTGATGGTGTCCAGTTGCTCTGGCGTGCCAACCGGACTCAAAGTGAATCTCGAGGACGCACAAGGGCTGCTTGGCATGCACCCGTGGCATTGGTTCTGGTTCATCATAGCTACTTGCTGTTGGCGTAGCTCAGATACCTGACCAATCAGCATGGCGACGGATTGCATTAGCCACCGTAAGCCCTGCCTCATACTGGCCCGGCGTCGCCGGCGAGGCTGCTGAGGTCCTGTGGGTCCACTTTGCCTTGGTGTATTAAAAAGACGCCTATGACCTACGCAAGTCGCATACAGATGTTTGAAGCTTACCCGTATGAACTGGAGACGCACAACCTGGTATGGTTGAGCTGGAGTCTGTGGCCTCCCCTTCTGATCCCTGAAACGGAAAATCGGTAAACAATAGGTAGGCATACCGACGTCGATGCCACCTCTGGCATCTCCCCCAGGGCCCAAACTAGGGGGTCATACGGGCTTTTAGACTGTCTCTTGTTCTTCTCATTCTCATTTGGAGGTAACTCCTGAGACATGATGATCTACAACCCAACAGGAAAACAGAAGGTTATTTTAGGGAATGCTATATTGGTATTCACTGCCTCCCTTCACCATCCACGTATCATAAGCTCAGGGACTGTTGGGTTGTAGGATACGTGGGAAGTGACCGATGAACGGTGGGAGCAACAGTGTGGCTGACCTTTTTGCTGAGTATATGAAGGAAAAATACCGTCCAGAGTCATCATCCTTTCGTCGATTGTACTTAGCTTGCGAGGCACTGCTGATACTCGGCGTCCCAACGTCCGTGGAGTTCCATTAGTACGTAATCGTCATCGATTGGGAAGCAGGCATACTTGCGCACCGATAATGGCAGTGGGCAGGTCTTGAGTACAGTACCTAAAGTTGCCTTGAAAATCTTTAATTGGGATGAATTGGTAGGATAAAAAAAATAATCTTCTATGTTATCGTAGTGATTGACTTAAGTCAATCACATAATCTGTCGTGGCGAGCATGTCATTGTGGCTACAGAAGGCTCCCATATTTACCTACAACAAATTAATGATGGCCTGCTTGAGGGGGTTGTCACGCGTTTTACGGCAGAGGTGAATCACCTTGCCTTGAACAAAGATGCCACCAAATTAGTGGCATGTAGCAGTGATTTTACGGTTAAGGTTGTGGATTTGTCCAGCCCCGGCACTGACATACGTGAGACGACCTTCAAAGGCCATGAAGGACCTGTCTTATCCGTAGATTTTGATCCGCTCGATAATTTTATTGCTTCTTTATCCTGCGATGGAACCGTCCGAATTTGGCAAATTAGTGAATCTAAGGAAGTAAAATCCCTACCCGTTTTGGTCAAGTGTAACGATCCGGAACTCTCACTCGCCCCTTGCCGTGTCAAGTGGGAGCCGAGTAAAGGAGAATATCTGGCAATTCCAGTGGACAATTTCATTCGACTTTACGAGAGAAATAGCTGGTCATTTTTACGCGCTCTCCGTTGTCCGAAATTGGATAAACCCATCCAAGACTGCCAGTTTTCCCCAGACGGCCAGACCCTGGCCTGTGTCAGTTCTGATGGCTGGCCTCTTGTGTGGAATCCAGAGGACGGCACAATCATTAACAGGTTGCGCGATCCGGCATTCGAAAACATCTGCAATATAATATGGCCAGAGCGCGCTACAATCTACGGTGGAGATCGCTTCGGTGCTATTGGCTTTATCGACATTGACGATTTAAAGTCCTCTAAGGAAAGCACTACGACCATGTGCGCTGCTGCTCAAAATACGCCTCCATGCGGAGTCGATCTCGCGACCTTCTGAAGTCCGTCCATCAGCCCAGACCGCTCGGCCACCTCGGCCCGGTCTCCAGCCCTCCCACAAAATTACATGGATTATACGGGCGAGCCATACGCAAATAGGCTTTGTGGTGGGTGTCAGCTGTTAGCTTCCAGGGTCAACCATCTCGAGAAAGAGATTGAGAAATTAAAGGCTCTTCTAGAATATGACTTATACGCACCTGAAGATACAAGTGCTCCAACTGGACGAATAACAAGGAGTAAAACAAAAGTACCTCCCTTGAAAGGCTCTTCAGAAATGCCTCCTGTAGCAGATACGGCTGCACAGGATCGAATGGCAAAAAATAAAAATGACAGCAGTCAACGAGGAAAACAGAAAAACAAAAAGAAATCTGATTGGAAAAAAGCCAATGAAAATGAACAGCCGCTTCTAAGTGATATTCCCACAGCACCCGAGCCAGAAACCATGACAACAGTCCCGTCCAAAACGGTTAATGCCGAAAGTCCAAAAACAGTTCGTAACGCCCAGAAAATTCTTGGATCGGATGGGTCCAGCACAAGTAATGGTATTGAGGCCATTGCCGAATCTACAGACCATCATTCGCTACCGTCCATATCA